TCAGTAAAGCCACATGTATTGACAGATCTTTACTTACTACTTCAATCATAAAGGTGACCCTCTTCAGTACGATGACATATATTTGATTTAGATGGGGGATTATAGACATGTAAACCACAGGATAAGTTTCCGATGTTACGCTTAGGACTATCTTTCAACCTGGCAGTTAGCACTAGTACGATAGCAGGAACGTTAGTTAAATGTGTTGATATGCTACTATTTTTTTGGTTCCAATCTTTAATTATTGACAATAATGATGCCCATCATAATTAGCTTCAAAGCTTTAAACCCGCTCACGGGTTTGTTAATAATTCACTTCATAATTATGCATTGAAGACGACTTTAATTCTGTAACTCATTCCACTGTGAAAAAAATAAAACTTTGATCATGGTTGCTTTTATACTTGGAAGGTATCATTTTCTCTCACACAACATTTATTTTGCATGTCAAATATTATAAAATTATACCAACAATGTTGAGTGTTTTCAATTAAGCTCTGTCGATGAGTTGCTAATTTTAATCGCTTTTCCACATGAGTAAACAAAGTGAATGAAGATACCACTGATTCCATTACTAGAAGCTACTAATATACCATGCCAGGAAGTTTCGGTTTATTAGTAAAATTAATCCCAAATATAAAACTTTCTATTTAGCTGTTTGGTATTTCTTACCGGTACATAAAACATCTAGGGTCTATTTTTTTCCGAATATAACACAGCTTAGCTGGATTTAAGTATTCATAATCACCAAATTATTTCCAAGTCTTATCTAATTTCAACAAAGTTTCGATTCAATGGTAAACGTCAAAATAGAAAGGATCTAAATTTCAAGTTGATCGGATCTATGAAAATTTTGTATTTAGATATTCTATTCCATAACTAGAAGCTACTAATATACCATTCCAGAAAGTTTTGGTTTATTAATAAAATTAACCCGAACTCTGAAACTTTCTTAGTCTTACTCTGATCTAATTTAACTGTTTGGTATTTCTTACCGGTACATTAAACATCTAGGATCTATTTTTATCAGAATGTAACACAACCTAGATTTAGGTATCCATACTCATCAAATTATTTTCAAGTCTTATCTAATTTCAACAAGTTTCGATCCAATGGTAAACATCTAAATAGAAAGGATCTGGCCTCATAAGCGGAGAATTGCAAGTTGATCGGATCTATGAAAATTTTGTATTTAGGCATTCTATTCCATAACTAGAAGCTACTAATATACCACTGCAGAAAGTTTTGGTTTATTAATAAAATTAACCCGAACTCTGAAACTTTCTTTGTCTTACTCTCATCTAATTTAACTGTCTGGTATTTCCTACCGGTACATAAAACATCTAGGGTCTATTTTTTTCCGAATGTAACACAGCTTAGTTAGATTTAGGTATTCATAATCACCAAATTATTTCCAAGCCTTATCTAATTTCGACAAGTTTCGATTCAATGGTAAACGTCAAAATAGAAAGGATCTAAATTTCAAGTTGATCGGATCTATGAAAATTTTGTATTTAGGCATTCTATTACATAACTAGAAGCTACTAATATACCATTCGAGAAAGTTTTGGTTTATTAATAAAATTAACCCGAACTCTGAAACTTTCTTAGTCTTACTCTCATCTAATTTAACTGTTTGGTATTTCTTACCGGTACATAAAACATCTAGGGTCTATTTTTTTCCGAATATAACACAGCTTAGCTGGATTTAAGTATTCATAATCACCAAATTATTTCCAAGTCTTATCTAATTTCAACAAAGTTTCGATTCAATGGTAAACGTCAAAATAGAAAGGATCTAAATTTCAAGTTGATCGGATCTATGAAAATTTTGTATTTAGATATTCTATTCCATAACTAGAAGCTACTAATATACCATTCCAGAAAGTTTTGGTTTATTAATAAAATTAACCCGAACTCTGAAACTTTCTTAGTCTTACTCTGATCTAATTTAACTGTTTGGTATTTCTTACCGGTACATTAAGCATCTAGGATCTATTTTTATCAGAATGTAACCCAACTTAGATTTAGGCATCCATACTCATCAAATTATTTTCAAGTCTTATCTAATTTCAACAACTTTCGGTCCAATGGTAAACATCTACATAGAAAGGATCTGGCCTCATAAGCGGAGAATTGCAAGTTGATCGGATCTATGAAAATTTTGTATTTAGATATTCTATTCCATAACTAGAAGCTACTAATATACCATTCCAGAAAGTTTTGGTTTATTAATAAAATTAACCCGAACTCTGAAACTTTCTTAGTCTTACTCTGATCTAATTTAACTGTTTGGTATTTCTTGCCGGTACATTAAACATCTAGGATCTATTTTTATCAGAATGTAACACAACCTAGATTTAGGTATCCATACTCATCAAATTATTTTCAAGTCTTATCTAATTTCAACAAGTTTCGATCCAATGGTAAACATCTAAATAGAAAGGATCTGGCCTCATAAGCGGAGAATTGCAAGTTGATCGGATCTATGAAAATTTTGTATTTAGGCATTCTATTCCATAACTAGAAGCTACTAATATACCACTGCAGAAAGTTTTGGTTTATTAATAAAATTAACCCGAACTCTGAAACTTTCTTTGTATTACTCTCATCTAATTTAACTGTCTGGTATTTCCTACCGGTACATAAAACATCTAGGGTCTATTTTTTTCCGAATGTAACACAGCTTAGTTAGATTTAGGTATTCATAATCACCAAATTATTTCCAAGTCTTATCTAATTTCAACAAAGTTTCGATTCAATGGTAAACGTCAAAATAGAAAGGATCTAAATTTCAAGTTGATCGGATCTATGAAAATTTTGTATTTAGATATTCTATTCCATAACTAGAAGCTACTAATATACCATTCCAGAAAGTTTTGGTTTATTAATAAAATTAACCCGAACTCTGAAACTTTCTTTGTCTTACTCTGATCTAATTTAACTGTTTGGTATTTCTTGCCGGTACATTAAACATCTAGGATCTATTTTTATCAGAATGTAACACAACTTAGATTTAGGTATCCATACATCAAATTATTTTCAAGTCTTATCTAATTTCAACAAGTTTCGATCCAATGGTAAACATCTAGATAGAAAGGATCTGTCATCATAAGCGGAGAATTGCAAGTTGATCGGATCTATGAAAATAGTGTATTTAGACATTCCATTCCATAACTAGAAGCTACTAATATACCATTCCAGAAAGTTTTGGTTTATTAATAAAATTAAACCGAACTCTGAAACTTTCTTTGTCTTACTCTCATCTAATTTAACTATCTGGTATTTCCTACCGGTACATAAAACATCCAGGGTCTATTTTTTTCCGAATATAACACAGCTTAGCTGGATTTAAGTATTCCACCACCAAACCACCAAACCACCAAATTATTTCCCAGTCTTATCTAATTTCGACAAGTTTCGATTCAATGGTAAACGTCAAAATAGAAAGGATCTAAATTTCAAGTTGATCGGATCTATGAAAATTTTGTATTTGAATATTCTATCTGTTTTAATCTTTTGTGAACATTTTAGTACTTGAAAATTGAGACCACGCGCTGTGATGATCAAATAGTGGCTTGAGAACATGTTTTGACTTGAATGAGAGTAACCTAAGAGGACACACTCAGTAGTTGGTACAAATTATTTGTTATCTTTTTGATACAGCGAATCTTGTGAATACGAAAAACATGATTTGTGGCTCAGCAAACATGAAAACGGCGATGCAAGTCTTGTAACCAATCCGCACGCGATTCAGTTTCTGAATAGGTAAAAAATTAATGTATTAAAATAAGTTCAAAACATCGTCCTAGGTTACATAAATACGCTTATAAGAAAAATAAAACTATTAACAGCGAAGCTGCTCCAGTTAGTTCAGAATATACAGAAGATCTGGATGTTGGTTTGCAATCTAAGCCTAATAATGCAACATGCGTAGATCCAGAAGCAATACAAACAGTGATACAAGCGAAACTGCCATTACTTTAGATATAAAAAGGTTAAAGCAAAATTATTTTAGTTGTATTATCTACGAGGAATTTTTAAAACATCAAATTTTGCGCGCTTAGTAGAGAGTATAAAATATCGGAATGTTAATTATACTGAGTATATTTGGAACGCTGCTGCTTCTCATTGGTGTGAAAGCGTTAAAACGGAGATACTCAAATTTAATTTATTTCTACTGTATTTTGATTAACTGACCTTCGGTTGGACCCTAGTATCGATGCAAAGTCTTACCAGTCTTGAAGAACGAAGTATGAGGAATGAAATAAACAGCAACTACTAAAGTAAAAAGAGATAAACCAATTATTTTTTGTTTTCGTCTTGGAAAAGTTCAGCTAGGTATTGAAGAAGAATTGAAAGATGAAGGTCCTAATGAGAGATGTCAAAGGAATTATAAGGTGAAGTGAAATAATCAGTATTACGGTAACGGAACTATGTTGCATGACTTGACTACTGATACGGAGCGACGTAGTCCTTGATTATATCGAATTGAAAGAAGTAGTAAGGAATACCAAAGGAACTGTAAAGTAAAAGAACCAGTATCACGGTGAGGTAACACTTATACGTGACTTGGACTACTGACGGGTAGGGACACGGTTTAAGGACCGGATTGTCAAAAGGGCACGCGCATTAAAGAAATTATAAGAGATAAGATGAATTATAAAAGTGTAAAGTAAAAGGGGAAAGACATGCCCTCGGTATGAATTCATTAGAAGCAGTGCGTCCCCTGCGTGTATGTGCGTGCCTCAGTCGTAGTTTGATGGTGGGCAACGTCAGAGGTGGCTGTGAGCCTGCCGGAGTCTGGAGCGGTATCCGGAGAGGCGTCAGCGTCGGCGGCAAGGCGTCGCGGCGCGGCGTGGCGTCGGAGGCAGACGGCAAACTGCAGCGGCGCATCCGTAGACTTGTGGGACCGCCTCCAAATTCGCGTTGCCCCGTTCCGTCTACTTGAATGACCGTTTTTGCGCAACAACACAACTAACTCTTGTTCTTTCTACCGAAAAAGAAATAATTAATAGAACGCCGCTGTTACCGTTTATGTGTTTAGTTGTGTTTTGGTGTTGTTCTGTGAGTGCAACTGTTTACCGCTACCCATGAAGTACTGCGAAACTCGAATGCTGGCTTCTTTTGCACAGGTACATTCACTTAATATTCGTGTTTACACTATTCTCTGCATGTCTTGCTATTTTTCCAATAGTTTACATGAAAAAACATTGAAAACCAAGTTCTTAATCCTGCGAATAACAGTACCTATTAATTTTTATACAGTTGCGACGTTACGCTCATAAACTTGAAAGTTTTCCGGTGTTTCCCAAAGCTCAGCTATTTGCATTTTTGGTAGAAGTATCTGTATCATAACGAAATCACAACAGAATTCTAGTTCTAGTTTAAATGAAGTATTACGAGCTTCAAAATTTGCCAATTATTTGCCTTAGTGTGGAAGCTCGAAAGTATATTTGGTAACTCAAAAGAATTGTCAGCAACTTAAATACTAACTTCTAACGAATAAACTCTACATATCTTAGAATTTTTTTGATTCTTTCTCGCCTCCCTAGTCTTAGTTTGTCCTTCCAAAATATACTTATACGACGCTCTTTCAAATGATATTGCAGAATTCGTATTCCAGTTTTGTCTACAACAGTAACCATAAATGCTCTGTCCTGTAAACATTGTGAGAAAGGCACCTGTCTTACCATTCCTCCAAAGCAAGCTCAATGCATATTTGGTGAGAGAAAGTCCTAAAAGCTCTCATATAGAGAAAAAAATATGTTTAATCTCTTAGCCCTCACAAAATGTAATATGGATTTTTTTGAACAGACACTTTCTACATAATTGTGAATTTTTTCTTCTCAAATTATTTTGCACGGATATTCTGGCTTATTATCTCTGTTCACACTTTGATCTGCATGTCTGGAAAGCTTAGTTTCTACCTTAATAAACGTATCCTGACATTCCTTCATAGCAAGCTGCAAAAGCTAGCTTCAAATAGTTGCGAATAACTTACGATAAAAAAATTTTGAATTTCTTAATATCTTTTTGCCCTACTGGTGGAAGTGTATACTTCCAAATTGCATTTAAAAGGTATCGTTACTTATTATCCATGCTTACATTCTTGTCTTGATGTCTTGCAAGCTGTCCGATAGTTTACATTGATAAATGTCTGTCTCTCCAAAGCAAGATCTAATGTCGAGAAACTTTACAAGCTTTCCATACAGCTGCGGTTATGCTCCCTAACTCAAGGAATTGTTCTTTTTCCATTATTCTTTCTACTCTACTTTGTCCTTGCAAATTAATTTGAAAACGACCTTTACCAAAATCCATGCTTTCACTTCTCTCTCACGTCTTACAAGCCGATAGTTTTTATTAATCAGCCTCCTTTGCAGTCTCTCCAAACAAGCTCCAAAGTTTGGACATTCTTACAAACTGTCAGATACTTGCGAGTAACTCGTTTAACAACTCAAAAAAGTATTCACAGTTTATAACTTGCGATCCATCCAAAGCAAAATATAGAAGCCCTACAAAGTTTCGTACAGTTGCAAATATGTTTAATCTCTTAGCCCTCACAAAATGTAATATGAATTTTTTTAAACAGACACTTTCTACATAATTGTGAATTTTTTCTTATCTTAATTCCTCTTCTCAAATTATTTTGCACGGATATTCTGGCTTATTATCTCTGTTCACACTTTGATCTGCATGTCTGGAAAGCTTAGTTTTTACCTTAATAAACGTATCCTGACATTCCTTCATAGCAAGCTGCAAAAGCTAGCTTCAAATAGTTGCGAATAACTTGCGATCCATCCAAAGCAAAATATAGAAGCCCTACAAATTTTCGTACAGTTGCGAGTTATGCTCAAGAACTCAAAAAAATTCTCCTTTTTTTCCTGAGTCCATACAAAATGAAATGTTGACTTCTCTTGTTAATTTTGTTACCTATTTTGCATTCTCTTCTGGGTGTCTCGGAAGCCTTCCGTTAGCTTGCATTATCCCCATATTTCCAAAACAAGTTTTCGTATAGTTGCTACCCGGTAGTTTCCGAAATTCAACTCCTTTTGATGTGTTAACACGTAGCTGTCGAAGTTACGATTTCTATTGTTGCTTATTCCTTGTTTATGCTAGACTACAAGTAAGATGTTTGACTTACTATAGCTCTAAAACCATCAATTATACTGCTTTATGTCCTGGAGGCTATGATATACAGATTGCAGATTCAGATAATTCCACTGTACCTCTTTTCGGTTTTAGCTTTAAAGAATTCTTTTCAAGCAATACATGAGTTTTTTCGGTTCTAAAGTATAAAAAAGTGAAGTAGTAAAATATCAGGATGGAAGCTTGGTAGCTGATTCGAGTAAGCTCATATGAAGTTTTTACAGTGTTCCATATATATTTTCGTGGAAATCCCACCTTTTTATTATCTGTCCATTTATTTACCAAGCATGTTCAATTCACATAATAAAATAATTACACCAACGGCTCTCTATTAACCGCTTTAGGTACATATCATCATTCAAATGAAATTTAATAATTTATGTTTGGTTAATAAAAGCTATTTATATAAACAAATGAAAAACAAGTTCTATGAAACATTACATATGATGTAAATATAATGAAAATAAACATTGTGGTGCGTAATTTTCTCTACTAACATACTAATTGATGGCTTCTAACTCCTGAAAGGTAAAAATAGCTGGTATAGCCCTTTTCGCAGTGCAGGCTTTGCACCCATTTCTTAAAATTAAAATGGAAGAACCTACCCGTCCTAATTCAACTTTTGGTGAAAGCGTTTGTGTTTTAGAATTATGGTGGAAGTGTCCAGTAGAAGTTCCTAGTTTAATATCTGGTGGAAGACTATGCCTTAGATTTATATACTAAGTGAAATATAAATCCAAACACCCAGTTTAAATGGTTTTATTTTAATAAAATTTTGTATAAGTACATAATGAGGCATAATACGTAAACGATAAAAATTTCAAAATGATTGCACTGCTTTAAAGCCCTTTGACCTTTAATAATGTGTGGATGCACCCTGATGTGCTACGCATTCTCCAACGCGCATGCTTCTGATCAGGTGGTCAATGTCCTCCTGTGGTATCTCATTCCAGGCAACCACCAACTCCTCTCGAAGTGCTTCTAGAGTCTGAGGAGGACGTTGCAAATTGAGCAATCTCCTACCCATCATATCCCACACGTGCTCAATTGGGGATAAGTCGGGAGATCTTGGTGGCCATGGTAACAATGTGACATCATTATGTTGAAAGAAGTCTATTGTGACTCTTGCAACATGTGGTCGGGCATTATCTTGTTGGAAAGTTGGATCTGCCAGGGTGTCAAGATAGGGTAAAAGATGGGGTTCCAGAACTTCGTGGATATAACGCTGCGCGTTCATGTTACCTCTGATGAAGATTAAAGGTGACCTGGAACCATAAGCTATAGCACCCCAAACCATAACTCCAACAGTGTGATGAACATGTCTTTCAACAAAAAACTGTGGATTCCTCCTTTCACCACGTCGCCTTCTAACCCTGGCACGACCATCGTGCATGCCTAAACAAAATCGAGACTCGTCACTAAATACAATACTGTTCCATTCCTGATCCCAGAGTGACCGTTGTCTACACCACTCAAGGCGATTACTTCGGTGTTCTCGAGTTAAAGGGAGGACCCAGTGTGGCCGGTATGAAAACAAACCAAAACTTCTCATTCGTCGGTAAACACTTCGCATGCCAATAGGTCTTCCGTGTTCTGCAAACCATTCATTTGCCATGGACCTGGTAGTGGAGAAACGGTCCCTTAAGGCCAATAATCTTAGGTGGCGATCTTCACGCTCTGTTGTTCTACGGCAGCGTCCAGTGCCCCTTGCTCTTTGCGTACGGCCTTCTCGAAGCCATGCCTGACAACACCTAACCACAGTGTCTACACATCTTTGCACTCTAACTGCAATTGCCCGAAAAAAAAGTCCAGCTTCCCGAAGTCCCACTATACGGCCCCTATCAAACTCACTAAGTTGACGAAATCGTACAGGTCTCCGTACTCTAGGCATCGTAACCGATCGTAAAGGATGTCAAGAACCAAAATCCGCCAACGTTGATTCTTTACTGCGGCTGAAATATTCATTTTTAGAGCGTTAGTGAATTAAAAAAGCAGTATAAAAGCCGGAATGTTCAACTGATGATGAAAAATTTTTCACTTGTTATTTACAGTAAGATAAATACATTCACCAACTTTTATTAAAATAAAACCATTTAAACTGGGTGTTCGGATTTATATGTCACTTAGTATATTTTAGAACTTGATGTGCGTTTTATGTTTAACGAAAATAAACATTGTGGTGCGTAGTTTTCTCTACTAACATACTAACCGATGGCTTCTAACTCCTGAAAGGTAAAAACAGCTGGTATAGCCCTATTCCCAATGCAGGCGTTCCACCTAGTTTTTGAAATTGTTGTAAACGAACCTACCCGATGTCCTAGTTCAATTTTTGGTGAAATCATTTGTGTTTTAGAATTATGGTGGAAGTACCCAATAGAAGTTCCTAGTTAAATATCTGGTGAAAGAGTATGCTTTAGAATTATGTTTTAAAAGTTGGATGTCCGTTTTACGTTTACCGAAAATAAACATTGTGGTGCGTAGTTTTCTCTACTAACATATTAATTGATGGTTTTTAAGTCATGGAAGGCAAGAATAGCTGGCATAGCCCTTTTCGTGAAGCAGATTTTGCACCTATTTAGAGTATGAGAGAGGAAGAGAGAGAGAGATTTTTATGAGATCGACAGGAGGGTCCAATAGCACCCTCACTTTTTCCCTGAGACCAACGGTCCTCAAAAGTTTCATTTACTTGTTTCAAGTAGGGCTTGTCGACACATTTTTGAAAGCCATATTCAAAATCTGATATTCAAATTACGTCATGTTCACTCGCGTGCAACAATATTCATCATTTTGTATGAATTGGGCATAGGTACCGATCCATAATTCAGATTTTGATGATGTGATATTGCACAACATTAATTGTGTGAAAAAGTAAACGTTGCTATAATTGATCATAACTACTCGAAAGAAGAACAAGGTAATGATAAATTTTTCATATTAGTTAAGGGAAGAAAAGAAGTAGTTTAAAATTTAAAAGGGCAACACTAGA